CATTAGCCTTTTCATGTGTCCTTCTTAGTCCATATCACACTTGAATTCAATATTTTATTATTTCTATTAGTTTCCTAAAATCTCACTGTGTTGAAATTGTATTTCTAAAGTTATTTTCTCTTTTGGCCCATTATTCACTAATCTGTTATGTTCCATCACTAAGTATGAGCATCTCCTGTGTCTTCCATGTGAGGCTCTTAAGACCATTAATTGAGTCTTTTAATGTTTGCTATTGGCAAATGAGAGTTAATTTAAGGGGCTGGGGTGGGCTCAACAGTTAAGAGCACTGGCTATTCTTCTAGAGGACCAAGATTCAATTCCGAACACCCACATGGCAGCTCACCATTGTTTGTAACTCCAGTTCCAGGGGAGTCTACACTCTCACACAGACATACAGGCAAAACACCATTACACATAAAAAATAAAATGAAAAAAAGTTAATTTAAATTTGCACAAAAATAAGAATCTACACATACACAGTAGGAATTTTAAGTCTTTTTTTTCTTCTCATCTATTGATATGCTGACCAAGTTATATATGAAATATCATGTATGAGACACCTTCATTTTCATGATACTATCACTTAAGATATCACTGATATACATAATTGACATGCTTTCTGAAGCATATGTAAAATCAATATTGTATTATCCATATAGAATTATACTGCTGAACTACAGGCAAGTTCCACGTATTTGGAGACAATCTATCAATCACTTTATGAGAAACAAAAGTATTGTTTATAATTTTTCAATGCATAAGAAATACATGCAAGGTAGTATTAACTTTCCTAACAACTATATGAAATCCTTATACTTTGTTTGGTTTTTTCCTTTCTTTGTGTCCAGAATGTACCTTGCCTTCCTGAAAGCACTGCAGAGTTGTAAATAATGTATGAAAAAAGTTCCTTGTTCACTGCCCAGAGAGTACTATGCTGCTTGCCTATAGTGTACCACATCTATGCTAGACAAACAACAAAACAGGCCACTAAATCTGAAATCTCAAGTTAAGATCTTCCCAAGTGAAAAGGGAAAATACCATCTTAGATTTCAGAAGGCCTTCAAACAAACAGTTGAAATCCTTGGCATGCTCCCACCCAGCAGATTAAAAGCACTGAAACTTCAGAAAGGGCTGTTCTTCTGAGTAATTTAGTGAGAGCGTAGAAAGCAGAATTAATCACTTAATGTCATCTCAACAGGCTCCCTATTTCTGAAGCTTCCTTCTTGCTCTTAGAGGGCAGATTGACAAAAACAGATGGGGGAAGATGGTAAAGCTGAAACAAAAGGCTCTAACTGTCATTCCAGTTTTCATTTTGTCTTCTGATGGTATTTAGGAATTTTGCGGAACAAAATGTGATTTGAGGATAACAAACAGGTGGAAGTCAAGTTCAAGCACAACAGATATAAGAGTAATGGTGTATAGTTAGATTCAGCTTTTTAAAAAGATAGAAAGAACATCACTGTTTTTCTTCACTTGTCAAGATTAAACATTACTGAAAAGAAAGGTCATATGACGGTACCATACAGAGGAGACATTCAAGTTCCCCTATAAAATAAATTCTGCTTTCATAGAATTCCATTCATAATGATGTAGACTTATATTTCTATTTCCTTCGTGCCTAAATTCCAAACTTCAGAAAGAGCTTTAGGTACAGTGAAGAGACTTTCTGGTGGGTTCAAAATTTCTTATTACTGTGAAGGATTCAACAAGCAGTTATCAAGAGCATATATCACAATGAGTTTGCCAGTACAGGCTAAAAGTATATTTCCATCGTTTAAAGCAAAATATGACTATACTCCTTGCAGCAATTTTTACCACATAGCATCATCTCTATCTAAAAGAAAGTTCACACCAGCCATAACCTTAAAAGCTTTCCTCAGATATGCATGGAAACACAGGACGGTATTCCTAGCATTACAGAATTTAAAGCAGAATGTTTAGGACTTGTTATACAGGAAGACCTTGTGCCAAACGAAACAAAACAGAAGAGAACAAGCCAAACCAAACCAAACCAGACAGAGATGAGCCCATAATCAGGGCGACTGATTTTAGAATAATTTTTTAAATATTTGGTTTTCTAGAGGTTTTAGGTGCTCAGTCTGAAGAAAACTTTGTCAGTGTTTGTAGTTGCATTTACAACTGCTTAAACTATATTGATTTCATATATATCCAACTATTTATTTCCAAAGAAAAAGTTTATAAATAAGCTGGTCATCCTGTGTGTTTAGTTCCTCAGTGTTAGTCTGACTACGAATTGTTGACATGGATACAAAACTACCAAGAGAAATTTACTGCTGCATAATTTCTTGTCCTAATTTCTCCCATACTTCAATATCTAAAGAATGCCTGCTATATCCATATTTTCATACAAATCATGTTGCATTGACCTTATCTCCTACTGTCTTAAAGAGATCAACAATGAAGAAATATTCAGCATAGATGATTGTATTGCATTAGAACAGACAAGCAGAGAATGATTGAAATTTCTTCAGAGAACATCATCAGTGCTTGCTTTGAACAGTTCTGCATGTAAATCAGGCAAAAATGGTCGGTGCTCAACTTGTTTCTCTAGTGGTCAAAGGATGATCAAAAACAGACAACACAGTAATGCTCTATTTCTACCATCATTAATGCAAACCTAAATCTTATTAATCAATACATATATGCTCTAAAAGTAACATGTAGTTTTCATTGAGAAATGAAATAAAATGAAACTAAGCAAAGCAAATATTATACAATGAATATCAGTATACATTTCATCTTGTGATTTACATGGACTGCTAAAAATCAATCTTAAGTACTTGGACTTAAAAATTAACAGCATTTTGGAACTCATTGCAATATGAAATCTATCCTGTCTCAAATCCCCACCCCATCCCTGCCATGCCCCTTCAACACATTCTAAAATGATTTTTAAGGTTTAAGGTTACCAATAAACTTCTGATAGTTAAATTATTATATAAAAAATTAGTGGGATGTTTCTATAGTTTAGTATGGTTTCAAACTCACTGTTATGATTTAAAACTGAAGTGTCTCCACAGGCTCAGTCCCTATCTTGTGTTATGTACTCCAAGAGCCTAACCCTTCTGGTTGGTTCCTAGTACCTAAGTACTAAATGTTATTTGGATGAATGGTATACTTTTGTTTCCTTGGTTGTTGTTGTCTCAGGGTTTCTAATGCTACATTGAACACCATGACAAAAAAGCAAGTTGGGGAGGAAAAGGTTTATTCATCTTCTGCTTCCACATTGCTATTCATCACTGAAGGAAGACAGGGCATAAACTCAAACAGGGCAGGAACGTGAAGGCAGGAATTGATGCATAGGCCATGGAGGGGTGCTGCTTACTGGCTTGCTCACATCAATTGCACAGCCTGCTTCTTATAGAACCAAGGATTATCAGCCCATGGATGGCACCACCCACCATAGGTTGGGCCCTCCTCCATTGGTCACTAATTGAGAAAATGCCTTACGGCTGGTTCTCAGAGAAAATGCTTTATAGCTGGAACTCATGGAGACATTTACTCAACTGAGGCTTCTTCCTCTCTGATGACTCTAACTTGTGTCAAGTTGACAAAAATCAGCTAGTACAGTTGTACTTTTATTTATCAGAATTTCAATGTGAAGTACAAATAATGAACTCTGATAGCATGTAGACACTTAAAAGTTTACACAGAGAGATGGTGATGAAATGACTGTCTCCTACGTGTTGGGAGGCATTTCTCTCAGCCTTCTGCCATACAGTATTGATTATAAACATACAAACACAGATTTTTTTTAAAAAAAATTCTTTTTTTCCAGTTTTACAAAACTGTTAAAGGGCATCTTTAATGATTTTATCTTCATGAAGCAGTCTCACCTTCCAATCAGAACAATTTTCTCCTCTCAATCAAACCTTCACATTCAGCTAATCTTTATAAGCCTTCCTTGAAGGGCAAACATGGAATATTAACTATTACCCAAACAAGAAATTTACCCAAATGGGAAAACGATGAACATAACTTAAAGGGCTTCAGCTATGAATTTCACTATTGCCCAAAGCTTTTATGAACAACTCAGCATTGAGTACTGTACTTTCTCTCAATTGGTTGAATTTCAGTGGCTACCAATTTCTATTCCACTAGCATACAATAATTTTAAGTTCAAACACAGAATAATTTGGGGTAGTATAGACTAGTGAACTCAAATTATACCAATTTATATTAAGTAGCATTTATATATCTAATATTAATTTTTCTTTTTTTTTCATTACTTGCCCAAAAGCTTTATAGCTCATGAAGGGAATTCAAAATTAATATACCTACTTTATCTTTTTCTAGATCAAGAAAGATATGAAGGGAACATATGATGATGTGATCATCTTGGAGGGAGTGATCAGACAAACTGATTCGGATTACCCTCAGAGGAGTTATTATTCTCCCTACCCATACTGTCTGAACAGAGAGAGAAGGATGACAGTCTAGTTCCACTTGTCTTGTTTCATTTATGTATCTCCCCACTGAGACCAGTTTCCTAGCATTACTTTATCTGTTGTTAATAAAATACAAAAGGAAATAAAAACAACAACAATACCACTACCAAAAAAACCCCACCCAGGTTAATCCAGTACTTTCTGATTTTTGAGGATCACGGTGATTGTCCCGTTATTAAAAATAGTGAAAACCAAAAATGAACTGTAGAAACAAGCTAATTACATTTATGGTTTTTAATCACCTTCTACCCAAGCCTCATGCTCATAAAACAACAATTAAAATATTTAATATTAAACACAGTGAGAGTCCTTATTTCTGAGTTTTTCAAAACTTGGTTATTTTAAGATACACTTATAGGGTTAAAACTTGCAAACTTTTTACACTTGGGGCTTACATAAATTCCACACACCAACCGAGATCAGCTGAGAAAAAACATCTTCCTGAGAAAGTTTAGTCTTCCTGTTTTAGAAGAGGGACTTGGCATAGAACATTCCCATTTACCAGGCTATGACAGCAAGACTGTGTCTTACCTGGATTCCTTGGAATTCGCTTTCTTCGGTCTCTAAATGCTGCACCTGATTGTAGGGCTTCCAGAAGATTATCCATCACTCCGGTCTCATCACCCTCTGGAGGACCAGAGAAATCAGAATTAATCTTATGGCAATTAAAGTTAAACTACAGGAAAATAAAGGGAAAAACTCCTGTCAGATTTACATAATACCCTTAAATTAAAGACATATATCTGTTTTAACATAATGGGTCCTGTCAGTTTCTGGCATCACAGACTACTTTGCTTATTACGCACCATTAAGCAAAATTCATGCCAATCCCACTGTTCTTTCAACTTAAAGACCTTGTCTTTTGTATTATTGATGACACACTCAGTATGCAAATAAACAGTAGCTGATCAGCTACTGCAGCCTTCCTGTTAAGATTCTTCTAAGATATTCCTAAGCAAGAAACTACTGACCTGGCTTAATGCAATCAATGTGCAGGGCGTGATTTGATGAAGCAGAGGTACACAAGGTTAAATACTGATTGTATTAATACCTTCAGCATTCAACCATCATCTGCGATTATCTCAAAAGGCACTATTTGCAAAACACATTTGCATTCAATTCTTATCTAATCCATATCCTTTATTCATTTTGAAATGCTGACATTCTATAAAGAAAAGGTGACCACATCATCTGAAAGGCCACATTTTATATTGAGAGACATCAGCCAAAAAGTCTTCTTTGCTGTTTAGAATGCTGGTGTGTGCCTAAAGGCTTTTCTTACGGGCAAGAACTATTAGAAATGAGAATGGCAGGTACTCAGAGATGCTGATGGAATTCCCTAACAGAGACAACATTTAAGACTTTACACCTTACTCTTACCTTTGACAACTCTGGCCATCAAGCACACTCCTGATATTCGTAACAGGATTTATAATAAAGTGTCAATTGACAGGACTGTTACAGGGACCTGCGCTTTCTCATGCCAAATTGTCTAACTGCTGGAAAGAACCCTCACTAGGTGGGTACTTTGAGCTAACAGTATAGGGTCTAGAGTATGGGTTTTGTAGGCAGGAAGGTAAGAAAAGGTGAGGAAGAGGTGAGGGAGAGAATACTGTCTCCCATTCCAGTCCAAGGTTAAACTTAAATCCTACTTTGCCTTAAGCAGGCAGTATTACATTATAGGACAATTTCTCTTATAGGATAAGAAGAAGCTAAAATCACTATGCACTTCATTTGACTTGAAATGTTATAATTATTTATCCTTTTAAGGTATGCTACCTAGGACAGGATATTGAGTAAAAATGGGAAGAAAACACAGAGGTTTTCAGAGCCAATATCTTGTGAAAGTGTAATGGAGGGAGTGTCCACAGTGATTAGAGAAAGACAGCTGCGCTTTTTAAACATTAAGATCAATGACCTATTTGGATCATCACACAATATTTCCAAAAGAAAGAAAAGAGCAACAAAGTAGTTAAATAGTTCCGTATAGATGCAATGTGGCTGGGATAATTAAATCTCATGTATAAGATGCTTTAAATTTCATATACCTTTTCAGATAGGAATAAGAAAACCAAGACACCAAGCAGATGGTATGTAAAGGGATCTAAACATGAACCCCAAATCATTCATATTAAAGAAAACATATTTAAAAATAATGATATGTTTGACATACTTTTATCAGGCTGAGTGTTAGAAATCTAGTGCATATGTACTTTTTTACACTTTTCCGGAATTCAGGTGTTCAACAGCACATATATCATGTGGACACCATATTGGGCAGCACAATTAAAACAATGGGAATCCATTGCTCAAACTTGAGTTTTAGAGAGGCTTGCCAAAGAGAAATGTGGAAAACCAGGAGGCAGAAAAATGTCTAAGAACATAATTTATTTGTCTAAGTAACAAAAAAATTGAAATTATCAACATAATCACTAAGACTCGGCCAGGGACAGAGAAGGCTAAGCAGGAAATGAGTGTGGATGAATAGTAATAATTAGGCTTAAGAAAATCTGAGGAGCTATGTGAAATGCTCCAGGAATGTCCCCAGTTGTGTGTATGTGGAAGGGTGAATGTGTGCACGCCACAGCACACATATGAAAGCCAGAACAGAACTTCAAGTGTCAATCTTTCAACAATATTAGAGACAAATTCTCTTTGTCGTCGTTGTGTGTTTCTCCCATGATCCTATTTAACAGGAGATTTGCTGGTACTAGAGCTTTGAGAGATTTGCCTATCATCTCTTCTTCTCACCTCAGCAGAGGAATTCTGGGATTATAGATATTTAATTTACTGTGGATGGCTTTGACATAGGTTCTGGGGATTCCAACTCAGGTCTGCTCACTTTCCCTTTCACAGAAAGTACTTCTATCCACAAAGTGCTCTCCTCAAAAGTCAGGGAAAGGAGAAGGATAAAGGTGGGCAAGAAATGTTCACAGCTAAAGAACAAATAAGAGAGTAACAATGCAAGTGAAATTCATGTGGTCTTGTGAAATGGTAATTATAAAGACAGTATAGACGAGTATGTGTAAACAAGTGAACAGAAAGAATACAAAATGGCATCTATTTATGGCTTCTATAAATTAAATTAAAACATGAAATTATATTTATAGATATTGTTTCATTGAAATTCTTTAATGGTATATTTGATTAGACTAAAAATGTGGAGCATAAACACAAAGATGGCAAAAATAAATCCTACTACTTAATTTAGTTGTATGCCACCTGACAACATTTATTGAAATATTACCTTATAGTATCTTTCTTATCTGTTTCTCATTATTTTTCCCTCCCTGATTTGTGGGACATTTTTATACATATTTTCCCCAATGTTCACCCCTCTAAAATGTAAAGTCATGGAACTATTGCTTATCTATTCATGTTATCTACTGTTTGTTAATCTGTGCCACAAACCATTGTGTTACCAAAGATTTATATCATGGTGCTTCTAAACCAGGAACTGAAACAGCAAGAACAGTTCTTTACAAACATTTTGCACGTATCAATTGGAAGAAATGACATTTCTTCAGTTCATTACAGTTTCATTTGTTCCATGCTAATTTTAAAACCAATTTTCATAGACTGTCTATCCTTCACAGATCTAAGTTTTACAAATATAACCAATTGACATTGCTTCCTAAACCCAAATGGAAGCCAATATGGTCACTTAAATATATTACCTTTCATTTTGAATGAATTTCAGTTAAGTTTGCTCTGTGATTTAATTGTGTAAACTTAACAGTTCACTTAGAATTCACCACTTCATATAACCATGGTTTCTTATTTATATGTAATTGGTGGTAATATTTTATTGTATATGGAGTTAACTCAGAAAAATGTGTTCCTTTTTATTGTAAATGAAAGTATTAAACACACAAAATTGCTTCTAAAAATAACTTACAGTGGCTATTTTACTGAGTAAAGGAATATCAAGAGATAATTTTCTAATGTTTTTAGCCATTAAAATGATTCTATGTGGGCATGGCTGAGAAGTAACGTTTCATAGTTCACTTTATAAAAATCATCACACAGTTAGTTTCAGAGAATAGCAAGGAGCTCGGTGGGCTGCATACAGTTTCAGGACTCTATGAGTAGCTTATCATCTGATAAACTCAAAGGCCTGGCTGACACCTTCTGTTTCATGTTTCCCATGGTATTTGTCACTCAGTGGATGGTAAAGCTCAGTTTTTAGCACTAAAGATAACCTATTTGGTATTGAGTTATTTCCCCCAAAGTGTTTGGAGATGCTAGAGATTAAAATAAACACTTGGTAAATTAATATTCTCTGCTATACTTTTGTGTTGTTTGGAGATGCTAAAGATTAAAATAAACACTTGGTAAATTAATATTCTCTGCTATACTTTTGTGCAAAACTATTCCCTGATGGCTAGCACATACTTATGTGAGAGAATTCTCTATGGGCTTCTCACAATTTTACACATTTTTAAAGCCTATTTTTATAGCAATAGTTTTACATGACACGGAGCTTCCATCTAAAGTAAATGGTAGGTTTGTCTGTTTTAAAAACAAATTATGTGTTCCTCCAGGGCAAATGCTATGTAGCTTTGCTTTGAGTCCATCATAATATATTAGGGATTTTCTAAGATTAGGGCTCCTCTGGAGTGCTACAAACCCACTGTCTGTGTAACATCCATCTGGCAGCACCTTTGTTCCCCTCTATTGAAGCTGGAGAGCAAGGAAAAGAATTAAGAACATGAGAACACGTATCTCACACTACTTACTATACTATGTGTAGCCTATGTACACTGTGTGTATTTCTGACCTCTGTACCTTCTAACAACATCCATTAAGTTGTAGCATGCTAATTTATTAGCTACACCACTTTTGAAACGATTCTTATTCTCTGTTTTTGTTCTTGTATCAAACATTGTTAATTAGAAAACTCCTTTTGTATCTAGTAACTGAACAGCATCTTGGGCACTTTCATTATTGAAGACTGTACTGCAGTTCACTGGGCTTGAGAATTACTAACTTAAACATAACACAAGTTCAATGTAGTTTATCTTAAATGCTTAGGAACAGGTGTTTTGGGTTTCACAGTCTGTTGGATTTTATAATATTTGCATACAGTTTATCAGTTGAGCATACCTAATCCAAGGCCCAATCTTTTCAAAAGTTTCCAATTTGGGAGCAGTACAGATTAAGGATGTCATTTCCTAGAATCTTAAAAACCTGATCATAATGGATTCATTGTTGCTTCGTCAAATTTTCAATTTTATAATTAAAGATCTCTGTCAAAACTGAAGAAAGCTGCTAGCAACTAGTAACAAGTAGGCCCCCCCAAAAAAACAAATGCTTCTTGCTGAGGTAGGACCCTTCTATGTGACATAATACCTGCATATATTAATTTTAAAACTTAAAGTATACATTATATGAACTAGAAGGGCAGGGAAAGACATAATGAATGAAAAGGGCCTAAACCAAGCCTCCAAAAACATTAAATATCTGTAGTAATTTAGGTATTATAGTTATATGTAAATGAAACAGAAATAGAACCAAACCACCAAAAATAACAACCAGTTCAAAGACAGTCAAATCTTGAGTGCAACTTAGTACATATGTGTGTATGTGTGCCCATTCTCTCTTTCTGTATACAATGCAAGTGTAAA